CAAACTGTCTTCATTACTGTCACTTTGTAGTAGAGCTTGAAGTTGGAGAGCATAATTCCCCCAGCTTTATTCTTCCTTCTCAGGATTGTTTTGGCTATTTGGGGTCTTTTGTGGTTCCATATGAATTTTAGAACTATTTGCTCTAGTTTGTTGAAGAATACCATTGGTATTTTGATAAGGATTGCATTGAATTTGTAGATTGCTTTAGGCAGGATGGCCATTTTGACAATATTAGTTTTTCCTATCCATGAGCACGGGATGTATTTCCAATTATTGGTATCTTACTTAATGTCTCTCATGAGTGTCTTGTAGTTTTCAGAGTATAGGTCTTTCACTTCCTTGGTTAGGTTTATTCCTAGGTATTTTATTCTTTCTGATGCAATTGTGAATGGAATTGTTTACTTGATTTCTCTTTCTGCTAGTTCATTTAGTATATAGGAATGCAACAGATTTCTGTGTATTGATTTTGTATCTTTTCAGCTTTGCTGAATTCAGTTATTAGTTCTAGTAGTTTTTGGGGTGGATTCTTTAGGGTTTTTTTGTACAGTATCATGTCATCTGCAAACAGTGACAGTTTAACTTCTTCCTTACCAATTGGGATGCCTTTTATTTCTTTATGTTGTCTGATTGCCATGGCTAGGACCTCCAGAACTATGTTGAATAAAAGTGGGGAGAGTGGGCATCCTTGTCTTGTTCCTGATCTTAAAGGAAAAGCTTTCAGCTTCTTGCTGTCAAGTATGATGCTGGCTGTGGGTTTGTCATATATGGCCTTTATTATGTTGAGATATTTGCCCTGTATACCCATTTTGTTGAGAGTTTTTATCATGAATGGATGCTAAATTTTGTTGAATGCTTTTCAGCATCTATGGAGATGATCATGTGGTTTTTGTCCTTTTTGTTGATGTGGTGGATGATGTTGATGGATTTTCAAATATTGTACCATCTTTGCATCCCTGGAATAAATCCTACTTAATCATGATGTATGATTTTTGAAGTATTTTTAAATTCGATTTGCTAATATTTTGTTCAGTATTTTTGCATCTATGTTCATCAGGGATTTGGGCCTGTAATTTTCTTTTTTGTGGTGTCTTTGCCTTGTTTTGGTATTAGAGTGATGCTGGCCTCATAGAATGAGTTTTAAGTCTTCCCTCTTCTTCTACTTTTTGGAAAAATTTGAGAAGGGTGGGTATTAGGTCTTCATTAACTGATAAAATTCAGCAGTGAAGCCATCTGGTCCAGGAGTTTTGTTCTTAGGTAGTTTTTTGATTACCAATTCAATTTTGTTGCTGGTAATCAGTCTGTTCAGATTTTCTGTTTCTTCCTGGGTCAGCCTTGGGAAGTTTTATTTTTCTAGAAAGCTGTCCATTTCTTCTAGGTTATCCAGTTAGCATATAATTTTTTATAGTATTCTCTAATAATTCTTTGTATTTCTATGGTGTCTGTAGTGATTTTTTTCTTTCTCATTTCTGATTCTGTTTATGTGTGTAGACTCTCTTTTTTTCTTGATAAGTCTGGCTAGAGTTTATCTGTTTTGTTTATTTTCTCCAAAAACCAGCTCCTGCTTTCATCAATTCTTTCTATTGTTTTATTCTTCTTGATTTTATTTATTTATGATCTAATCTTGATTGTGTCCCTCCTTCTACTGACTTTGGGCCTCATTTGTTCTTCTTTCTCTAGTTTCATTAATTGTGAGTTTAGCCGGTTCATATGGGATTGTTCTTCTTTCCTGAGGTAGGCCTGTATTGCAGTATACCTCCCTCTTGGCATGGCCTTCACTGAGTCCCACAGATTTTGCAGTGTTGTTATTGTTGTCATTTGTCTCCATATATTGCTTGATCTCTGTTTTTATTTGGTCATTGATCCATTGGTTATTTAGGAGCATGTGGTGAAGCCTCCATGTGTTTGTGGGATTTTTCATTTTCTTTCTGTAATTTATTTCTAGTTTCATACCTTTGTGGTCTGAGAAACTGGTTGGTACAATTTCAGTCTTTTTGAATTTACCAAGGCTCTTTTTGTGGACTAGTACATGATCTACTCTTGAAAATGTTCCATGTGCACTTGAGTAGAATGTGTATCCTGCTGCTTTGGGTGGAGTGTTCTGTACATGTCTATTAGGTCCATCTCTTCTAGTGTGTTGTTCAGTGCCTCTGTGTCCTTACTTATTTCCTGTCTGGTTGATCTGTCTTTTGGAGTGAGTGGTGTGTTGAAGTCTCCTAAAATGAATGCATTGCATTTTATTTCCCCCTTCAATTCTGTTAGTATTTGTTTCATGTATGTAGGTGTGCCTGTGTAGGATGCATAGATATTTATAATGGTTATATCCTCTTATTTGACTGACCCCTTTATCATAAATAATGTCCTTCTTTGTCTTGTTACTTTGTTTTGAAGTCTATTTTGTCTGATACAAGTACTGCAACTCTTTCTTTTTTCTCCCTGTTGGTTGCATGAAATATCTCTTTCCATCCTTCACTTTCAGTCTGTGTATGTCTTTGGGTTTGAAGTGAGTCTCTTGTAGGCAGCATATAGACGGGCCTTGTTTTTTTATCCATTCAGTGATTCTATGATTTTTGATTGGTGCATTCAGACCATTTACATTTAGGGTGATTATTGATAGGTATGTACTTATTGCCATTGCAGACTTTTAGATTAATGTTTACCGAAGGTTCAAGGGTAACTTCCTTACTGTCTGACAGTCTAACTTAACTCACTTAGTATGCTATTACTAATCTAAAGGTTTTTTTTTCCTCCTCCTCCATTCTTTACATATTAGGTATATTCTGTACTCTTTGTCTATCCCTTGACTGACTTTGGGGGTGGTTTTGATTTTGCACCTGCTTAGTAATTATGGTCTACTTTCTTTACTGTTGTTTTATTTCCCCTGGTAACAGCTATTTAGCCTTAGGAACAGTTCCATCTAGAGCAGTCCCTCCAAAATACACTGTAGAGACGTTTAGTGGGAGGTAAATTCTCTCAGCTTTTGCTTATCTGGAAATTGTTAAATCCCTCCTTCAAATTTAAATGATAACCTTGCTGGATAGAGTATTTTTGGTTCAAGGCCCTTCTGTTTCATTGCATTAAATATATCATGCCACTCCCTTCTGGCCTGTAAGGTTTCTGTTGAGAAGTCTGATGATAGTCTAATGGGTTTTCCTTTGTATGTGATCTTTTTCTCTCTCTCTGGCTGCTTTTAATACTCTGTCTTTATTCTTGATCTTTGCCATTTTAATTATTATATGTCTTGGTGTTGTCTTCCTTAGGTCCCTTGTGTTGGGAGATTTGCGCACCTCCATGGCCTGAGAGACTACCTCCTTCCCCAGATTGGGGAAGTTTTGAGCAATTACCTCCTCAAAGACACTTTCTATCCCTTTTTCTCTCTCTTCTTCTGGTATCCCTATAATGTGAATATTGTTCTGTTTGGATTGGTCACACAGTTCTCTCAATATTCTTTCATTCCTAGAGATCCTTTTTTCTCTCTGTGTCTCAGCTTCTTTGTATTCCTGTTCTCTAATTTGTTTCATTTACTGTCTCTACTTTATCTAATCTGCTTTTAAATCCTTCCATTGCATGTTTCATTTCAGATACTGTATTTTTCAACGTTTGTATCTCATCCCTGAATTCCATCCTGAGTTCTTGAATATTTTTCTGTAGCTCTATGAACATGTTTATGAGTTTTGTTTTGAAATCTCTTTCAGGAAGATTTATGAGTTGTTTCACTTGGCCCTCTTTCTGGTGTTTGTGGGATTTTGGTTTCAACCAGGTTCCTTTGACGTTTCATATTTGTAGGTGGTGCCCTCTAGTGCCCAGACGCTCTACTCTCTGGAGCTGCTCAACCCTGGAGCAATGGCAAAGGTCACAGGTGAGCAGTGCTGGTATCTGTCAGGAGGAAAGAGCTCTTTCCTGCTTCCTGGCTGCAGTGCCTGCCTCCACTACCAGGGCCAGTGGGCCAAGTGCACATGGAAAGCCTTTATGATTTGCACTTGTAGCTGCCATAGGCAGGGCCTCCCTCTGGCTGGCCTGGCGCAATGGTGGGGGCAGCCAGTTTGCAAGCTGGTGCCGGCCAGGAGGAAGGCACAGCAGGCTTCGTATATTGGTGGGGGGGGGCCTTGTCGCTGTGTTGCCAGCCAGGGGGATGGAGTGCCTGAAGCTCCTGAAAGGTCCCAACCTGCTGGGCAGAGTGAGCCTGGACAATTTTGTCCACCTGTTCTTTCTCCTGAGCAGCAAGCTCTGTGCAATCCTTGCCCCTTTTGCAGCTCTCTTGCTGTCAGGAAGTCTCTCAGACTGCCCACCTTTCTTTTGTCCCAGAGTGGCCAGATGTGGATCCGTTTTTTTCCACAAGTGGCTGGAATCTCAGTCTTTCCAAGTATTCCACCTGTCTTAGCTTACCAACCCCACTAATGTCCAAAGTACCATGTAATGTAGGTTCGTGCTCCCAGAGATCTCCAGGGCTGGGTGTTCAGCAGTCCTAGGCCTCCACCCCATCCCTGCTCCATTTCTCTTCCTCATTCCGGTGACCTGGGGTGGGGGAAGGGCTTGGGTCCCTCTGGATCACGGCTTTGGTACTTTACCCTTTTCCTTGAGGTCTGCTGGTTTCCCCAGGTATAGACAGTCTGCCACAGCCTTCTTTCCTTTTGCTCTTTCAGGATTTGATATATTTGCTATATTTTCATATTATACATGGTTTTGGGAGGAGGTTTCTTTCTCACCTCTCATGCCATCTTTAATCCTTACAGATTTGCCTTTTCAATATATTTTAAAGTCCCATACAAAATGTAGACTTTCGCATCTGGCTTTTTTCACTTAGTATGTTTTCAAAGTTCAGCCATGTTATAGAGTGGATCGTACTTCATTCCTTTTCATGGCCACATGATATCCCATCGAATGATGAGACCAAAGTTTGTTTATCCATTCGTCAGTTGATGGATATTCAGGTTGTTTTCAGCTTTTGGCTGCTGTACCTCATACTACTCTAAATGTTCATGTGCAAATTTTTGTGTGGACAGGTTTTCAATTCTCCTGGGCACATACCTTGGAACAGAACTGCCGGATCACAGGTCACTCTACACTTAACTTTCTGATGAGGTGCCTGTTTCCTCGGCAACTGCACCATTTCACAGTCCCACCAGGGCATGAGGGTTCCAGATTCCCTACATCCTGCATCAACACTTATCGTCTGTCTTTGATTTCAGCCATGCTCATCAGGGTGAAGAGGTATGTCACTGTGGTTTTGATTTGCCATTTCCTTGATGACTTATGAGTTTGAGCATCTTTTCATGTGCTTATTAGCCATTTGTATATCTTGAGAAATATCTACTCAAAATCTTTGCCTACTTTTTAATTGAGTCACTCTTAATTGCTGAGTTATGTATTTTATATACTAAACTTTAATCTGATATGTAATTAACATTTTCTCTTATTCTGTGAGTTACCTTTAAAGCACAAACATGTTTAATTTTGATGAAGTCCAGTTGTCTGGTTTTTTTTTTTGATTGCTGAGGATTTGATGCCTTAGCTAAACAACTATTGTCTAATCCAAGATCATGAAGATTTACATCTGTCTTCTTTTTGCTGGAGTTTTTTTGTCTTAGCTCTTTAAAATTGAGGTCTTTGATCCATACTGTTAATTTTTATAGATAATGTGAGGTAATAAGGATCTAACTTCACTCTTTTGCATGTGGATTTTGTCCCAATCCCATGTGTTGCAGACCATTCCATTCTCTCCTACCCCCAAACCATGGTGCTAAAATCAAATGCCCATAATGTGCATAGAGTTCAGTCCTCAATTCTATTTCATTCATCAGTGTGTCTACCCTTATGCCAGCAGCAGTCAGTCTTGACTGTGGTGTTCTGTAGCCACAAACTGTGAGTCCTCCAATTTTGTTCTTTTTAAAGAGGGTTTTGGCTATTCTTGGTCTCTTACATTTCCACGTGAATTTTAAGATACACTTTTCATTTTCGGCAAAAGTCAGCTGGGATTTTGATAGAGACTATGTTGAGTCTGTAGATCAATTTGGGGAGTATTGTAATCTTAACAATATTGTCTTGTAATCGATAAACACTGGATTTTCTCACTTAAAATTCCTTTCGGTGTTTTATAATTTTCTGTTTACAACTTGCACTTAAAAAATGTATTATTTTTCTTTTTGAAGCTAATGTAAACAAATCTTTCTTAATGTCACTTTTGGGTTGTTCATTGCTAATGCATTGAAAAAACTGATTTTTGTATTTTGATCTTATATCCTGCAATCCTGCTGAATTCACTTATAAGCGCTAATAGGTTTTTGTAGATTTTTAGGATTTTCTATATACAAGGTAATGTCATCTGCAAATAAAGTTAATTTTACTTCTTCCTTTCCTAACTGTTGTTTCTTTTTCTTGCCTAATTTGTTCTCATGAGACAATTTAGTACAATGCTGAATACCTCTCTGCCAACTACCTTTTACAAAAACTATTTTCAGAGATGCAAGCCTGCTCTAAGGCATCAGAGGAGCTGTGGTCATGCTGCCCAGGGAGACTGACAGTTCTCCTGCCTTCTTCTGAGAAGCAGCACTTTGACTGCCTGGTCCTGGGTGATTTGAAGAAGACACACCGAGATGGCCCAGGCAGCCCTTGCCCTGCCTGGACTGGCCTGCCAGGCTGAATACAAGTGGTGAGAACAGTGAGACTTGTCTTGCTCCTAAGCTTAGGGAACTATTTTCCAGACTCAAGACTTGGACATTTTTATAGATTAAGGGAAAGGAATCAATGGGGAAGGAGACTTAAGGACATGCCCAGAAGGGGGGATAACTGACAAAGTAAGATCCAGGGGAGGCCAGTGGAAGGAAGGTGGTCACTTCCTCCAGAGATGGGAGGAAAACCAAAAGGGAATAATATAGGTGAGGTTGGTGTTAGGGGAGGACAGTGGTCCTTCACAGAACAGTCTCTATTCCCAGTGAGGAGGTCATCATGGGGACAAGAGTAGGGCTACGGGCTTGAAGCCAAGAGTAAAAATGGGAACTTGCTGCTATTGGCAGGGAAGGAACTCAGGCCAGCTGGTGAAAGGACGACCAGCCAGGGGGACAGGCCAGGGCTTGTCTGTCTTTTCTGTGCCACCGCTCAGGAGTGTCTCTTCTGCCTTCGAGTTCTGTCTCACTGACTCTTCGCTGTTTCTCTCCTGGTATTATATAGGGATATCTGGAAGCTGAAATAATACTGAAAATGTATTATATCAGTTGAAGGCACATTTCTTGATCTTAAAGTTGGATGTTTGATATGTTTCTTCTTCAAAAAAACGGAGTTGACTAATTGTCTTCTTTGCTCTACTCTCCTTAACAGAAGACAGAACCCACTTCCCTATTTCCAATTTTTATCACTGCAAGACTTAAGATGAGAGGTCAAAGCAGTATGTCCTCCTGCATTAGCAGGCCTGATAAACAAGCATGACCTTCCTGCTCAAAGGCCACCCAGGCTAGGAAAGAAGTCACAGGCAACAAAGTGCTTTGGGTAGATTTGGAGTGTATTTGCTGCACTTCCTTGGCGCTAGTTTACAATGCAAAAAAACAACCAAACAAAAAACAATTGGAATAATAATTATAGTTTTTTTTAAAACCCTGTCAACAACTTTCAGTCATTTCTTTATTTTTATATTTTGACAAAACTTTTTTTAAACAAATACAAAATAATCTAAAAGGAGAAAAACTATACACGGATTATTTACACCTCTGATAAATAGACTAATACTGATCCACGTGCCTCTCTAGGTAACATCTGTGAGACCAGCGCAAGGGACTTGGCCGGCGGGGGGCGCTGGCCCTGGCCCGGGACCACTGGACTCTGGCTGGCTTCAGTTGCCAGCCTGAACCCTTTTCCACACCTTCACACGCTCCTGCATAAAACTGCCTGAAGCCACTCCAGGTAGGACCTACATGAAGGGTGACCCCAGAAAGCACCCCGACAGTCCTCCCTGCAGTCCCTCATACAAAAGCTTCTTCCAGAGATGCGAGCCTGCCCTAAGGCGTCGAAGGAGCCAGGCTGCACCGCCCAGGGGGACCGACGGCTCTTCCGCCCTCCTCAGAAAGGCGGTGCTCTGCCCCCTGGGCCTGGGAGGTGCGGGGGATGTGCCGAGATGGCCCAGGCAGCCCCTGCTCTGCCTGCACTGGCGCTGGGCCCTGGACGTGTGGCAGGAGCTGCCCGAGAGTCCCTGAGAGAACGGCAGGAGAATGCTGCGCGTCGCAGCTCCCCTCACAGCACAGATGAGGGCGAGGCCAGCTCACAGAGGTTGTAAGGGAAAAAGGGGTATGAGAGGCCCCCCCGCTTCCCTGCCCCTCCACCTGCCCCTGCCCAGCAGGCGAAGGCCCACCTCCCCTCTGGTGGGCCCTCCACACAGTGCATCAAGAGCAGTCCGGCTAAGGGCCAGTTCTGAGGCAGAAGAGCTGGAGCCCTAAGGTGACTGGGTTAAGACCCACTCCTTCCTCTAAAACGAGGATTGGAGTTTGGGTGGGGGAAAGAAAAACCAAATAAGAAACAGGTCATCCCAAAACCTCTGTTGGGATTACCTTCCTCACAGTTTTGGTTATTAGGCATTTAGCTCAAGGAAAAATGCTGACTTTCTATTTTAAAGCCCAACAAGAATGAATTCTGAAAAAGAACAGCGCAGGCGTCCAGCCGATTCTCTGCCTACCTCAGTGCTCCCGGGGCGCTCAGAATGGAAAAGCATGCGCCGGAGCAGCCCGCTGCGGACCCGAGGAGCAGCCGATCCCAGGGTCTGGGTCAAGTCTTGAGGCCTTGCTGCATCTGTGGTTTCCTCCGCCCTCTCCAACACCCCTCTTCCAGCCCAGAAAAGCTGCCAAGAAGCAAGCTCGAACCAGCTTCCGAAATGCAAAAGAGGTGGGCCTGCCCCTGCCCTGGGCCCAGCGCTGACACCCCTTAGCAGCTGCCCAGGGAGCTTCTTCTCCAGGGAGAAGTTTCCCAAACCAGGCAGGGTAGAAGGCATCTGAACAGCTCTACTTTATCCTTTAAAAAAAAAAAATCAAAAATCAAAAATATATCTTTATAATATGTGGCTTCTCTTCCATTCCACCTTTTTTCTTAACATATAATAATATATCGATACATGTATTTATGGTGCAGGGTTGAAGGCTTCTTCACAGGGAAATAACAACCGAGAGGTAAACAGTCGGCTCTGAGCTCTGTTATTAGACCCGCTGAGCGGAGAGGCTTGTGAGGAGGCTGCTTTGCTGATAGGAGCTCTGGTCTTTTGAGAAAGAACGGCTTCAAAACCCCACGCTTGATAGGCACCAGGTCCCGCTTGCCCAGTGGTAATTGCCTATCCTTCTCCCACTTGAAAAAAAAAGTAGCAAAAGCTGAAGCCAGTCCCTAGGAATTCAGGGAGATGCCCGGCAAGAAGACACCCCCGCGAGGCAGCCCCCTCCCGGTCTGCGGGAAGGACGGGGGAAGAACCCGGCTTCAGGCGCCCTGCACGCCAGCCCCGCTCGCCATGCAGACTCAGTGCCTCTTTGTGGAGGAGACCTTCTTCTTCCGTGCTGCCAGCATCTCGTAGAAAGGGTCCCTGCTTATGGCTGCTCTGAAATACAGAAAGGGGTGAAAACAGCGTGTGAGGAACAGGGCCAGAGAGACAGGCCCAGGCAGGGGCCTCCCAGAGGCACTCTCCCCAGACCCCCTGCCCCGCCTGGCTGTTCTAAGGCTGAGTCAGTGGTGGCATCCTTCACTGTGCCCACACAATGGCTTAAGAGACAATTTTCGAGAGATACATGGTATGTGTGAAAAGATAATTTTGGAGTTTTTATTGCCTGTCCAACCTTATCATCAGGTAAAGTTTAGAAACAGAATATTACACATTCTTATAGCTATATTCTAACTCAAAATGCAAATGTAGTACTTTAGCACTACAGTACTAAAGTAATGATGGCACTTGGTGTTTGTCTGGAGCAGTGAGTGTCATACAATCAGACGTGTCATACAGAAGCATCTAGTGCTTTTAGATGGCAGCCAGTCTGTCTCAAGCAACTTCTGAGCCCCCATGCATAACACGTCAATAACCAAGTCACGTAACTGGACCTCAGCGAGTGGCTGCTCAGGCCAGCTCTGCATGCACAGCCTGCAGGGAGGGGCCTGGGCACACCCTGCACTGGCCCCCGAGAAGCAGCACAGGACGGTGGCAAGCCTCAACCACTAAGCTGTCCCTTTAAACTTTCATTCTCAACTTTCAAGCAAGTTGGGAAGTAAACGTTTTGAAGTCTAATCTGTTTCTCGAGGGAAGCAGAATTCTAAGTGCTGACGAGTTTCCATACAGCTCCCAAGTGACTGCTGGCTCTGCACCTGACCAGGTATGGGGCAGCTCCTGCAGGGTGACCAGGCCTATCACCAGGATGACATGTCAGCGAGGCGGGTCTCCACAGCTCCTGGGGGATGCCAGGGCCGGACAGCACCCAGGACACATCCCGAAAGCATATGACCACTCAGAGTGATTCTAAGGGAATGTGGTCAGCTGAAATGCTGCTTTCATCTTTGGTGGGCATTAGGGTGGGTCCACCTCTGCTTCCTGGGGAGGCCAATCCCACAAGGGACACTGTGGGAAATTTTCAGCTCGGTGAAAGTGGTGCCAGGAAATGGCAAAGAGCCCTGGGCTGCCAGCAGGCTCCACCCCTGCTCTGCACATACTGTGTGCCCCTCGGTCCCTCTCACATGCTCAGGGGAGGTGCCCCACTCCATGGGGTCCTCAGGAGGCTGGGAAGACAGAGCATATACTGAGCGCACCCCAATGCCAGGCAGATAGGCTTGATTCTGTTGAACTAAAAGCTTGTGACAAGCATGTGCCGGTGGCAGGAGGAACGTGGGTGGCTGTAAACTCCTAGGAAGAGCACTACGTAGAGAAAGATGTGTCCTGCACTTGACCTTCTGCAAAGCCTTTCCAGCAGTACTGGTTAAGGAGCCTCCACCCAGTCTGATCCCTCTTCCTGCATCTTGTGCGTCCAACATCGTGTTGGGGAGAAGTGTCTGCAGCCAAGCATGGCTGAAGCCGAGTGCTACACGCAGCCAGGAGCGCAGCTTCTCGAGTCAGGACGCTCGGGTCTGAGGACTAGCCTCACCTCTGTGCTGCTGGATGATTTAATTCACTTTGCTGGGCCCCAGTGGCCTCATCTCCAAAATGGTGACAGCCGTCCTGCTGTACCCATCCCTGGCAGGCAGTGGTGAGGGGATTGTGCTCCAACAGTGCCCACAAATCCCACCCTGAGGACAGCGCCAGCTGCGGGGCAGACCTTAGGGCGCGAGCCGCCCCATAAGGAAGGCTCTGTGTTTACCTGAAAGACTGAGCAATCCCAATGTAACTTTAAAGAACGCTTCATTTTCTTGCCTGTGGAAGTATCAACTATAGGAAAAGCAAAATGCACCACAGACAAAACCTTTCTGAACGCTAGGGCAGGGAGGCCGTCCCAACCACACACCAAAGTACACTGATGCTCCAGCGGTCACAGCACACAGCATTCACGCCGGAAGCCACGCAGGGGCTGTGGGTGGGGAACTGTACAGAGGAATTTGGTAAAAACTAAAAAAAGAACTTCAGGTTGGTATGGGGGAATAGGGTGACCAGAAAATGGTATCAGGACAACCGGCTGCTCACTTGAAAGGGTAAGTTACATCCCTTAC